TTCAATTCTTGTATCGATTGATCATTGTCTTGTATGTCAATGTTCATAAAAGTCTTTATACAAGTTCTTATTTAATTATACAAGTCTTTTGAACTTCTTGTTCGAATTATCTTTTACAATGATTTAGATAATGATGTATATGTACATTATTTTCAGTTTCTTAATTTATCATTCTAATGTTGAGATAATTGTTCAATCATATTGACAATCAGTAAATCGCTTTATGAAATATCATTCGTTAGGGCTTGAGATATTGTATAAGGATTCAAACTACTCATTTATTCTCATCATTCTTTACTTTCCATCTCAATGTATTGTGGTGAATCAAATTTATATATATTGCACTATCAAAATAATTTGATTTAAAAATTAGACTCTAACTTTAGGTCAAGTTATAACAAGGAGAACTATAATATTTGTATGATGAATAATAACATTCCCTAAATAGAAATTAAAAGTACTCTATTCTCAATCAATTTAATTGGATGCATTTAACAAGCAATAGCGTTGAACAATTTATCGACATCCCTACTAACACTTGTTAATATGTTGAGATTTAGAATTACTAGTATTAACAAGACATGCCATCTTGATTGTATAATCCAAAAATTATGCTCATAATTTAAAATTTGAGCAGTAATTTCACAAATTTTAGGTTGCGAGCACTATGTAATCATCTAATATATGTATCAAATTTATTAGATACAAACAATCTTTAGATGGTCAATGTGGAGGATGATTGTGCCTCATTTATCACCCCGATTTATTCTAAGAGATATAGGGAATTGAGTCCCTATTTAGCTAATAATGATTAATGACCAATAATTGAAAGAACAAATATCTTTTAAGAATTCATTGGATTAAAAAAACTTTCGATTCTTTGTTGAATACCCATTTGTATTCTCAATTCCGAATCATTATTGATTCGGTGAGTAATAACATTATTTTTGTTTAAAGTAATAAATTATGTAAGTATTTATATTTTAGGAGTAAAAACATAATTCAAATAAGATTTTATATTATTATACTTTTCGAGAGCAAGTTAAATTTAACTAAAATATTAATGAGAATTATAATGTGCTACTTTAAAAGTACGTTTTATTTTACTATTACTTCTTTAAATGCAATATATCAATATTTTTGTGAAATATTGAAAATTATAATTTATACTCTTCAAGAGTAAGTTATATTCTTTTAAAATATTAATTATAATGTTTTTTTATTTTGTTAACAATAATATTTTGTAATAAAAAGACATAAAAATACTAAAATCATAAATTATATTACGTATTAATAAAAATAAGAACGCGATAATTAATTAAGCGATAAACAAGAAACACAAAAATATGTGATGTTGGCTCATGAATTAGTATAATGGAGCCATAAAGAATATTCACAATAATTGTATAAATGCACAAGGTACATCATTGTTTACATTCAAAGATGTATATCATTATTTAGCACACCAAAATAGTTGTTAATTCTTTGAACAAAGCTACAGTATAACACATTCATTACAACATTGGATTACAACCTCCCACACGGGATTTGGGCCCCACGATTAAAATAATAGTGGATCCCACCTTCCTTATGAGAGGTCGTAACCTAATATTATAACCCAACGTTGTATAATGAACATTATTCTAATTCTTTCAACGTACACATGTAAAGTATGTAGTCATGCAGATGGATGAACAGTGAAAATTAATCAGCATCCGTACAATAAAAAATTATTACTGCCATGCGTACAAGCTTATGCATGAACGGAGGCAATGGAAAGTAATCATTATGAATAATCATTCTCTTCGGCTTGCAGCAGTGGAAAATAAATCTCTCTGAGTGACATGTTACATAATTGAGTGTGCTAATGTATCAAATTAATTTCTATGTACGGGATTACTTCAAAGAAATTATTATCTTTATTAGAATCAAAAATTAAACTTTCGTGTTGATAACGTACTATAAACTAGAAAATGTACACCTCATCACATCGCTAGCCTGATTTTGACACATAGGAAGAATGTTAACAACAATGTCAGAGACACGGCGGACCCACATGGGGTCAAATGACCCCACAAATTTATTTATTTTTCAACTTTCTTCGAGTTTTTTTTTTTTTTGCCTAAACATTTTTGAATTTCATTTTTGACCCCACAAGAAAAATAGTCTCGGTCCGCCTCTGGTAAAAGAGAATGTACATATAGCTTAATTCTAATAATTCTGCTTCACGTACAGAAGCAGAATGGCCAAAAACTTGCCAGTACACTCACAATCCATCCTAATTTGAATGTCCCATCACACTGAAGAACCAAATATTCTCTAAAAAATCACTATTTTAAAACTCATTTTTCAAAAAAATTATTTTTAATGGACATCAAACATAGGCTTAATGTGCCATGTTGATTGTTATTTACGAATATGAAGTACTTTCATTTAATCCATTATTCAATGTAGGAGGAAAAATGTAAAAAAATATTTATGTTTCCAATTATATTTTCTCAATTTGCGTGAAAATGAATGCATATCTATTTTTGTGGGAGAAAGAAAGCACTTCTTAAGCTACCAACTTGTGTGCGAAAGTTGTTCTCTGTGTGAACACAACTACTTTACCCTGTTTGTAAACTCACGAAGTCAAACATACTTGCCTAGATTTTAAACGTTGTGCTTTCATTCTTTAAGACCGTGTTTGGTAATCATTCTTTTAAAAAAAAAAAAAATTCATACTCATTTTCAATCAGACATTCTTCAAAAAGTTACTATTTAAAAATTTATTCTTCTCAAAAAATGGCTGTCAAACGAGGCCTAAAATTACCTCGGTTTGCGGGAGTGTCCTTAACTAAGATTTTAATTAATTTTAAAAGATGGTAAACTCTAATGAATTTTGTAGATTTGAATAGAATTTTACAAATAGACTATAAGAATCTTATCGATACGGTGAAATTTCAAAAGATTTTGTTATATGTTTTTTTAATCTTGAAATCCATCCAAATCTTTTAAAATTTCTCTATTAATAAAATCTTTATGAATCTATTAATTATTGAAGATACTTAGGGTGTGTTCAGTTTGGATTAAAATCCAATTAAAATTGAAAATATAGTCATTATTGGGTTTCACTCGTCTAATAAAAATCAACAAAAAGGCTAACTTTTCAATTTTAATTTGATTTTAATATCTACCAAATACACTCTTAGATTTTATAAGATTTCATTAAAATTTATTAAATTCTCAATTGAGGATACCTAAGTTAAGAAGGATTTTTAAAATTCATACAATGTCAACGGAGGGCACCCGTCTTTGACTTTTTGAGTCTAAAAAATTGGATTTTACTGAAATTCATCTAAAATTAGTCAAACGCGTGGAAACTGAAGTACCATACAACAAAGAAATTTTCATATGTAGAACATTTTTCTTCACCGTACTTAATTTAGATAAAACAAAACTATATTAGAAGTCGAAGAACAGATAAATTAGACCCCAAACTTTTAAAACTTATGATAATAAAAAAAAACGAGGTCTTGTTTTCACTTTCAAAATGTTCGACTCGAGTATTTTAGTTTAATTATAGTACTTTTTAGTACGATTTATGGGTTATTTGACACAACGTGTAGTAGATTTTGATAAATATTGATACAATGCGTGATTAAAAAGTTTATAAAAGTTGTAGTTTTCATAAAATGTGTAGTTAAAATTAATTGTTAATTTTGACTTAAACTTTTAGGGGCTGTCTGGTGCAGCTTGTAATCAAAATTAGAGACGTTAGGCAACAAATCTTGACTTCTTTGGTGAGAGAGTGGGCCCCAATTTTAAAAAATCAACGGTCAAAAAAGTTCAATTTCCTCGATTTTAAGCTGTTTAAACTTTCCCAAACAACCAATTAAAGTTCGTTTGATGGAACTTTTGAAAGCTAAAAGTTGTTTCTGATATTAAGAAATTACGTTTGAATAATTTTTTAGAAGTGCTTGAAATAACTTTTAAAGAAAGGTGATTAAAAGTAATTTTTTCATAAAACTCTTTTACAAAAAGCAAAAGTAAAAGTAGAAGCAAGTCAACAGCGGCACATGCAGGAATTCAAGTGAGTTAGGGCGAATCTAGACTAGTGTGCAGCCGTCCAATATATGGAAAAAAAGTTACCTACGAAACCAGCATGGCCGGCCATCATGGCCCCCCGGGAGCTGGCTCAGCCGCTGACTGTCAAACGGGCACTTAGTCTAATATACCAAACAACTTCTATTGTTACAAGTAAAGCAGTATGAACTAGTTAATTGAAGGCCCAAAACAAACAAAGCTGATCAGAGTTGACTTCAGATTTTTGTTTTTGTGTACGGAGAAATGTCAAAATTCCTTGCAAATGCTGACGTTAAAAACCGGAAAAACACACGCTGATTTTTGTCAATATTCCAGAAACATTTCGTATTTATTGATTCGTACAAGGGTCTCGACATTCAATTGCATTTTGATCTTCTTCAATCTCTAAGGTAAATGCTCGCTTTTTAATTTCGATCTTGGTTTTTTCTTTACACTTGTTGGATTATAATATACAAACAATCGAATATATAGATGGGTTCGATTTAATTGTCTTATGTTCAGGAATTTACAGTTTTTAATTCTCAGTTTTAAGGGAATGATTTAGGATTTCGATTGTTTAAGTTAATGCATATATAGCAAAATTAATAAATCTGTGTTTGTTTTCTAAAGTTAAAGGATTTTTATTTACATTAAAATATGAAGAATCTTGTTCATGAAGAAGAACCATTTTTAATTTCTTTTGGGATTTTTTTAAAGAGGAATTTAGATCACAATGGGTCGTTAGCAAAATCCTTTTTAAAGTTAAAATATGAAGTTTGGGACTTTACATTTTCTTGAAGCAACAGGAGTATTTGGTGACTGAAACTCAGATATTTGAACCATTAGTGCATAAAGATGTGGCTATTGAACTGTATTTACTTTCTAATATTTAATCAATGATCTGGTGATCTTTAGGAGAATTTAGATTTGGATAAATGTTGATGGAGGCTCAAGATTCGACGGCTAATGCATGCGAAAGCTCGTCATCCTCGGGAAGTGGCAGCGATGATTGTGGTGATTTCGAATGCAATATTTGCTTCGAGTTAGCAGCTGACCCTATAATCACGGTCTGTGGTCATCTATATTGTTGGCCGTGTCTCTATAAATGGCTACGACTTCACTCCCGGTCACAAGGATGCCCGGTTTGTAAGGCCCTAATACAAGAGGAAAAGTTGATTCCTCTGTACGGTCGAGGCAAGATTCCAACGGACCCGAGATCAAAACTTGTTCCTGGCGTCGAAATCCCTAGTCGACCAGCAGGGCAGAGACCGGGAACGGCTCCGTCCCTTGAAGCAAGTAACATCTCTAATTTGGTTTCTGGATTTATACCAGCGTTCTCTCAAAATTTCGGCATCGTCCAGGTTCACGGATTTTCGAATGCTGGTGAATATGGTGCAACCCGAGGATATCATCATCGATTTTCTCGTCCCTTTCGTGGTCCTGAAGGCGAAAACCTTGACAGGGAGAGCAATAACGTTCAACAGGCAAATGGCATTCTGAAGAGGATTCATTTTTTTGTTTTTGTTCTTGCACTCTTTGCTTTATTGCTATTGTAAATGGATTTAGCTACTGACTTCGGTTAACGAGTGCGAAAAATGGTAATTTTCATGTCTCTAGAAGTCATTGTTTTGTGCGATTACGTGCTTGTGGTTGAGCATCTTGTTACGCTAATACACTGTAAATCTTCGATATGCTCAACTTGATGTTCAGATAAGTTTGCAAGTCATTACTGTTCTGCAGGATGAATGTTTCGTTCATAAACACTATGAGGGTTATGTGCACTTCGATTTTGTAATTGCGGATAGAATTAGCTTTCTAAAAAGTTGGGCGCATAGTGTTGTTGTGGATGGAGGTGCTTGCTATTAGAATATTATAAATTGTATCTAATAGACTTATGTCACCATTACGAAGTAGATGGCCTTACTTATAGGCAAAGTTTTAAAATGCATAATGCGTGGCAATACATTTCGATCGAGCATCAAACATTATAAGAATATGCATGCTTATGCGAAGCATATACTTAATTATGTTTTTTTCCCAATTTTAATATTTTAAACTAATTAATAAATAAACCAATGCATTCTTTGAATTTTTATATGTATTCTTCAAATTAAAAAAAAAAAAATTACTCAAAATTATAAATACCACAATAAGACAATTACTTCAAATTTATATATATATATTTTTTAAATTTTCAACAAAAACGTATTGCTCAAAGTCATAAATACTACAATTATTTGGTAATCAATTCCTACAATTAGAGTAAATATGAATATTGACATAAATTTTTTTAAATCTTGTCTAACTCTATCAAATTCCAATTCAATCTTCTCTTCTTTATCCAAGTCTTCCGTGTCATCCAATACGAAATAATCTTCATTGAGCTCCCTTATTTCAATTCGAGAATTTCTATTACCTCTTGTAGATGGTAATATATTATTGTCAACTTACTCCTCATCATCACAACCATCAACAATCCAAGATTGTGCATAGTAGCATGACCTGCGTGCATTTGAATTTTGTTGTGCTAATTTGAACATTTTTAATTACAAATGCGTGGGCATTTTGGAGAACATGTGCGCATATGCGGTCAACGCAATGAGTTGATCGCATTATCATGCGCATACCCCATATATGATGCGTTTGGAAAACACATTGAGAATATGTGCGCATATATGCTCACATTTTAAAACACTGATTATAGGGTTGCAAATAAATTTAAAAATGAAAGATTTTGTAATAATCACACAATCAATTATTAAAAAAAATAATCCCATGCAATTGAAAAAAATGAATTATTCTACTTGTATATCAAATGTTAGACCATGGGTTACATAATATACAAGTGGCATTATATAATTAGTTGGTGGAAATTAAACAATTTCTATTAAGCAATTACATAATGCCACTTGTGTATTATGTAAACCTTGATGTACATGTAGCAAAATTCTGAAAAAAAATATAGAATAAGACTATGAATTAAGCGATTTGTACCCTCTTGTTTACTCGACCCCACCTGCCCTCTCACATGGAGGTCGGGTCCCACGTCCAATAAATGCGTGGGGCCCAACCTCCATGTAAGAGGATGGGTGGGATCAGTAAACCAAAGTGTAAACAAGAGGGTACAAGTAGCAAGGTCCATAAGACTATTTCTACACCCAAATGTTTACATTTTGGTTGACATTTTTTATGTGTCAAAAATCTAACCATTGGTTGGAAAAGATATTTTTAAAATCAATGTGTCCAAACCTGCCAACACACGTGTAAATAAAGATGTAAACTAAAGTGTACATATAACATTGCTCAAAAATATAATGGTTAATATTTTTTACAATTATGCTACATGTACATCATTTTTTATATTGTGTCACCATTGAACAATGTTTTTTTAAAACACAAACATTTCCACCCGTAACTTTTTGAACTTCAATGGAATGTATACAATGATGTCTACCAAACAATGTACGCTTAGAAATAATCTATTTTTTATAATATTTTCGACATCTTCAACATCCCCCTCAAACTCTATTTGGTGTAGTGGCAACCAAATTAAATTTAAAATTAAATTGATTCAATCAAATCGTCCCCTTCCAAGAGTCGAAGGATTCCTCAAAATTGCTTGCAGCCAATCAAGCCAAACAAAGAACTCAAAGTTGGTACAAAAGAAAAATCTTCATCCACCAATCTAACTAAACCATCACCAAGATTTGAAGGAGACACCCACAAATATAAACAAGGCCAATACAAGATCTTCAAACAATTTCAATAACCAGACATGTCAAGGATATATCATTTTTAACAGTAGCACTCTAAAAATCTATGGTTGTATCAGACTTTATTCAAAAGATGGAGAAAAAGACTATCAAACAAGAATCATGGCTCATGGGAAGGCTAAGGCAACGTGATGGTTCAATTGAGGGTCTATTTGATATGGTTTTTGAAAAGTCAAAATGAGATTTTGAGATCCAACTTTTGATTCCATTGGACTAATTTTATGAAAATACTTATTCTAATTAAAAGAGCTTTTAAAGAAAGTTGGTTCAATGTGACTTTCTTTAAAACACTTTCGGAATAGAGAATACTTTCGAAAGAGTTTCTAAACAAAAATAAGGTAGCTTTCTTCATAAATTCTTTTTCAAGAATCAAAAGCAAAAATTATGTCGTCGGGCCCTGAATATAAAATATTCAAGCAACAACAAAAAGAAGAAAGACAATTTACATTCTTAAATCATGCTACTTATACAATCTTGACTGACAACTTCACTCTTAACAACATCACATTCATACATTTTAAAAATTGTTTTTTAAATTAATGGCTTAGATTTTGACAACACCAAAGTTGTCGACAAGGGTTGTGCAATAGCTTAATACATATCTTTTATTTTTCCATTTAAAATTTAGTTTCATTTTCGGAACTAAACAAACTTCATGGAAAAATATAAGATTTTCTTCTGATCTAGCGCCACATGAGAGCAAAGGTAAAATTATTTTAATGACAAAACAACAGCTGAAATCACTAGGAATCATATTTACCAAAACTAGAACGTTACATGACTTGCGAATTTCTCAATCGCTAGAGTTGGGGATTTGATTTGAGAAACTCTTTGAGACACAGAAATAGCAAGTCCCATTATATAGATTACGATTCAAATACAAACCACTCGTCGAAAAACGGATGACTCTGAATTTATCCCAAGAAATTAGAATATTATATATTAAAGATAATAGATGACTATATCTATAGAATCACAGGTAACTCTAAAGGGAAAGATTGTGTCACAATCACACAATCAACTATCAAGGAAAATAATTTCGCACAATTGATAAAATATCATGGAGAGTAATCTTTATAGCATTTCCATATCTTCAACGCTCGTGAAGTAGCAAGAAATCGAGCACACCATCGTGCTCCAAAAAAATAAACTACTGTTTTAGCTAGAGAGCGTCGGTCCATTTTTGCAACAAAACTATCCCCTAATTAAAGTGAAATTGTGAAAAAAAAGGGGGAGAATGAGTGGTTCAAATGAGTCTCAATCCTTGCTTAAACATCAGCAGTACCCTACAAAGGATGACCAGTATTTAAGCAATGGAAAACAGTTCTCTGCATTTCAAAGATAACTTTGAGTACACACAAAAGAAAGCTAAAATCCCACCAGCCCTTCTTTTATAGGAAAGATCAAACCTGCCGTTTGGTTGGTAGTTACAAATTATTTAAAACTTATAATCCAAAATTCCATTCGTTCATTCACTTATGAAACATGGCTTCAAACAATTGTACCCACTTCCATATTCTTATCTTGTTCTTGTTCTTAATCTGTTTACCTTTCTCAAACTCCATTGATTTCAATTACCCTGCAGTTTTCAACTTTGGAGATTCGAATTCCGATACAGGTGATCTTGTTGCTGGCATGGGCGAGCAGCTCGATCCACCAAATGGACAGATTTACTTCCAGAAACCATCTGGGAGATTCTGCGATGGCCGTCTGATCATCGATTTTTTGAGTAAAAATTTCCGATTCCTTTCTCATAGAATATGTATTATGCATTTTTATTCAATGCAGAAAGCCACATTCTGCTATTGTTGTTTCAATTTTTTCCCCAGTTCTTCTTCATGAGTTGTTCATGTGCTTCTATGTGACTTTGAAGAGAATCCCAGTATAGAATAAGATTGACTTTGTTTGTCCTGAATAAGAATGAATATCCACGTTTCTCTCTTCTATATTTTGCCTAAAAACCAGATTTGAAGACTTTTGAGTATGTTTGATCCCCATTTTCATTAAGAATGTATTTTGTAATAGTGATTTTTTGGAGAATGTATATTTAAAAAGTAGAAAAGAATTTGAATTTATGTGTAAAATTATTTTATTTAAAGAATGTATGATTTAAAACGAGTTTGGAGAAAAATGAAGATCAAACGGGAGCTTACATTAGAGCCGAGCCCGCCTTTTGTTCCTCACTATCAAAAGACATAGAGACCTTTGTATGTTCTCAGCTCCATTTACCTGTGGCTAGCTTCGGCTCACTTCTCACTTTAGGAACCAACCCTCAGAGCGACGAAATTTCAATTCAATTAGTCGACCTCAAAGTTGTCGAGAATGAAACTTTGTTTGTTATTTGTTTGTTGCAGTGGATGCAATGGACTTGCCATTTTTGAATGCATATTTGGAAGCTATTGGAGCACCAAATTTTAGAAAAGGATGCAACTTTGCAGCTGCAGGTTCTACCATACTTCCAGCTACTGCATCTTCAGTTAGCCCATTTTCATTTGGGATTCAAGTGGCTCAATTTTTCAGATTCAAGTCTCGAGTTCAAGAACTGCAGGCAAAAAGTATTTATTTCCAAGAATTTTTAGTCTTAGATTAACATTATAAGCTACCATTATTCTCTATAATAATTTATTATTATTATTATTATTATTATTTATTTATTTTTATTTTTTTTGCAGCAAGAAAATATGATAAGATCATTCCAGCTCAAGATTATTTTCAGAAGGGGCTTTACATGTTTGATATAGGCCAGAATGATCTGGCAGGAGCCTTCTATTCTAAGACCTTTGATCAAGTTCTAGCTTTAATTCCAACAATTCTATCAGAATTTGAAGATGGCATCAAGGTTAGTAACTCTAGAGGTTACCCGTGCACAACCCTATATTTTATGTTCGTCCCAGCCGGGCCCACAAGGAAATTGCGGGCTATGCTGGGCCCATAGTCAGCCGGCACCCCGGCGCAGCCAAATTACTCTAGCTACACAAATATCATCCCGCCTGTAACTTGCAAACCAATTCGTGACAGTTATGTTCAGTTCTCATAGCATCGTATATTTAACATCGACTAGAGATAACTTTTAAATAACTTAAATTTTTCGAATTTTTGGTTCTTGATTTCCGTGCAGAACTTATACGACCAACAGGCAAGAAATTTTTGGATTCATAACACAGGTCCCCTGGGTTGCTTACCGCAGAATGTAGCCAAATTTGGAACTGATCCATCAAAGCTTGATGAACTTGGATGTGTCAGCACCCACAATCAAGCTTCAAGACTTCTCAATCTGCAACTTCATGCACTCACTACAAAGTTGCAAGGCCAATATCCAGATGCAAATTTCACACATGTAGATATTTTCACAATCAAGTCTAATCTCATATCAAACTATTCTCGATATGGTTAGTATAGGGGTTGGCTTCATGCACTCTAGTTTATATGCTCATTTCTTATCCGATTCATTTCAGTACGATTACACACACCTATTGCAACATCTGTATTATGAGAATTTTATCTTTAACTGCCCAACAAGCTACCATAGCATCTGTATATTCTCGTTTCTCATCTTATCCATTTTGTCTTCATTTCCGGTATGTGTGTCTTACGAATATTTCACTCAACTTGTGTACAGGATTTGAACAGCCAATAATGGCATGCTGTGGATATGGAGGTCCACCCTTGAACTACGACAGTAGAATTGCCTGTGGACAAACTAAGGTATTGAATGGAAGTTCAGTCACAGCCAGAGGTTGTAATGACAGCACAGAATATGTGAATTGGGATGGGATTCACTACACTGAGGCTTCAAATCAGTATGTTGCATCACAGATTCTCACTGGAAAATACTCTGATCCACCATTTTCAGACAAAATGCCTTTCCTCTTAAAACTTAAATTCTAAATTTGTTTGATATCTATATATGTTTTTATATTTTGTTGATTTATATATGGATAACCAAACTCTATTAATGAATTGAGTTACTAGTGGCGGTGAATGTTTTAAAAATGATAAATAGAGTTGTAGTTTAGTTCGTGACTTAAGAAGCTTAAGGCTGGTAATAGTATACATATCTATGCCTGTCAGTAAAGTGAGTAAACATTCCTTTAGCCAAGTAAACTCTTGCTTGTTCCATTATTTGGCTATTTGCTTCTTGGGACTCCATTTTTTAATAGGCAAAGCCAGGCATTTTACAAAACCACAAGGCAGGCATTTCATTTAATTCTTTCCTTGCGAAGACACAAAGAATCGATGTCTTAATTCTCAGTAACTTTAAGATCATCATTATTCTTTTCACGTACATAAGCAGTTTTAAAAAGATCATACTATAGCAGCAGCACTTATTTTTCCATTGATCTAAGCTTTTCTCTTCTCTATTTCTCCTTCTTTTTTTGACTCATTTGATACTATGCAAATTGACGTAAAAGTAGGAAACCCAGCAAATTACCAATCAACTTAACATGGGAAGCTTCCCGTAAGCCGAATGTGTTCGAGCGTTGTTTTCAGATCGTACTTGAGCACTGCCTTGTTGCCTTCTCTGAAACCATCTCCATATGCTGGTGATGTATCTGATTCAATCTGGTGTTTGAAAAACTCGCCAAGCTTTTTCTCAAACTCAGACCGCTTGCCCTTCTTAGAAGAACTAGATGAGGAGGAAGATGACGAGGATGAAGTTGAAGCAACATTACTACCAGAACCAGCAATAATTTCGGAATCCAACCACATATGAGCTAACACTTGGCAGATACCTTCTTCAACTTCTGGACTCAGATTAGGGTAACCTGCGGGCTAATTCTAGTTAGGCATATTGCAAAGAAGGGAGATGCCAGGAAAACATGTATAGCAAGTTTGGGTAAGCTTAACAAAAAGTACAAGTTACTCTAAACTATTGTTTCCTTTTCTTACTTTCAAGTGAAAAAAATTACTTATTTTGAAAATAGTTTTTACCTTTCTGTGAGAATAAGTTGCTCAATTCCAGCATTGACAACATAAAAAATTTACTTATTCTAAACTTCCGAATTTACTTCTAATTAAATTTTAAAGCTTAGGCAGGCAACTTTATAGTACTAAGAAAGAGTACCTTTAAGTCGCAGCCACGCATGCATCATCTCATGAACCAGGATAGACCCAGTCAGTAACCTGAATTGACGAGAGTATGTTTTTTTGTTTGTCCATGAAAGTGCAAGCGTTGGGAAAAGCTACAGGTGATAGGAGGAAACAATGCTTACCTAGGAAGACCATACAAAATAAGAATCGCTGTCACTTCACATCGACGGACTAGCTTATAAGGCTCGGTGAACATGTCAATTATTCGAAACCCTCCAATCCTTGGCCGCTTCAAAATCTGAATTTATTTTCATAAAATAAGTATAAAATTAAATCTTGGAAAATATATATGAAGTTATAATAAGTGGAACTGTTATTTTATAAAAGAAAGTCACTATCGGAAGATATTCATACTATTCTAACTGTCTGCTCTTCTGATAGGCAAAGTCCTCGAGTCTCAGGCATGTGATAATGACCCTGGCCATAAGGCATAAATTACAAGCATCTACATGAATACAATAAACAAAAGTGCAAAGATATAATGTTCACTAAGAATACAACTTACGTTTTTTTCTCCTTCCATGGCTTCATTTAATGCTTGCCTCTCGACCAAGAGCAATGGAATTTGTTGCTCAACCTTCATATTTAGACCTTCGTAAAACTCTTGTATTTCAAGGTAAAGAGGTTGACATTCATGTGTATCCATTATTGAGGAGTCCAAACACTCCAGACATAGCTTCCGACCATCATCTAGCACCAGATATCTGGCATCTACTGGCTGCACGGATCAGAAGGCTTCACATGAATTTAAAATGATTTATATATCCTTTTGAGCGTGTTTGGATAAGCCTAAAACTTGATATTAATAAACTTTATTTTTTGCCACACGTGTGAGATCTTTTAAATGTTACTTTAATTTTTTGGATTTTTAGTACAATATCTAACCTATCTCAACAGTGAAAAGTAAGTTCAATATTTGAAGCTTAGACAAACATGCTGTTGGTTTCGTCAATTTTAAGACGATTCCAGCTGAAATTTTTCTTTGGTCCTTTTTTTATTTAGGAGTTATATTTTTGTAGACTTGCCTCCATTCTCTCGCAGCTGCAACAACGAGGTGTACCATCACGCTCATGTGATGGGCAGTACTTCTGCTTCCAGAAAGGATGTGCCCTATACTCTATAAGACCAACTCTATTCGCTGGGATCTGTATCCATGGAAAATGAATGAGAAAATACCCAAGTTATCAAGTGGTTAGTATGATACTTGAAAGGATGACAAGAATGTTTTACACAAGTACATAGAGTACATGTTTAGTATGCTACTATGTGGTTAATTTGATACTTAAAAAGGGTAGAAAAAAATGTTTTTACACAAATGTTTGGTGTGCAGTAGTATTGCACATGACTCGACAATACAATGAACAAGATTTTAAAATTTTTTTCTTCATTAATATTGTCTAGTGCTATTCAAACATGCCAATAGAGTTTAGCAATGTAGTCCTAGATTGAAGTTGAAATTGGAATAAGTGGCAGCTTAACGCGAGATGGACTACAGTACTTAAAAAGTGAGACCACTACTTCGGATAGCTTACATGTAAATGTTTCAGATAGTTTATTCATAGAATGATGGAGGCCAAAAGGAGGAGAATGTTGCAAAATTGTTCAAAACTGGGAGTTCAAATATGCACATTAGACTCCGGTAGCACTGGAACAAGTACTCCTATTCTTAACGAGCATCGTACCAAATAAGCACAAACTAAAGAATTAGAAATTCTACAACATCGAGATTGATGAGAAAATGAGGGAAATATAATGATAAGAGGCGCTTACAAAATTCTTGCAAACGTCACATTTGGGGTGATGCTGGTCTTTATAGCAGGATTTGTGACATGGGCGATTATCAGATAACGAAAACTGGAACATAATGTAAAAGAAAAATCAGTAAATTAAACTTATTTCGCGGTGATAAATTAGCATCTAGACACCCAAAAGATTAATTCAGAACTAAGCTTAATTTCAAGCACTTTAGGACAAGTTCTGGACCTCCAATTCAGAAATTGGCAGATTGCAAATGTGACAACGGAAACATTCTGGATGCCAAACAGATCCCAAGAGGCTTAAATATCTTCCATGACCGATTTCACAGTTGCAACCAGCACAAATCCTACAACGAGAACTATGTTAGACCAAAATTCTGTTAGAAGTGTAGAACCACCTCATTTGAAAGCTTATATTGTTACAAAGTGGACAAACTTATTTCTTTATGCTATGTCTTCAAGATGCTCCACTCACGTGCAGTTCAATTCTGACATGTATACAATTTTTTCATAAGTGGAAGGAATCGAGACTTGATCTTAAGACTTTTGTGCGCTCTGACACCAAGTTAAACCACACTATGTTGAACCACCTCATTTAAAAGTTTAAGCAGATAGAGAGTGATCAAACTTAATTTATTTGTATTATGTCTTCAACACGAAGAATTACGTCTCACACTGGCAATTCAATACAAAAGTACGCAGGAAATACACATTTAGAACATCATATAAAGCTAACTGACACAACAATTTCTGGAGTGCAGAGGTTGACTATAATGTTTTCTGTTTCCCCAATTTCAGCTACTTCATTCTTGACCAATATGATAGCAATTTAATGTTACTTGATCTATAAAGTTTGAAAGCTCAGATTATCTGTTCAATCATGTCATTTGCATGAGTCCCATTTGAAATAATCAGTCTATTCAATTATATTGGGTCCAAAGAAACCAATAAAGGTTCAACATACATTAAATAAAACCATCTAAATGTTCCAAGTCTCCTTTTGGTGATTCTGCTCTGATATTCTAGCAGCAATCAAGTGAACCATTAATGCATGAACCTACAAGAAATGAAATTTTTTATTTCTTTGAAATCCTACTTGCACAGTGTTCAGTGTCTTATCATTATCATCATCCATGAACATTTCTCTGATTGCAGAATTTTTTAGCTTATATACAAGAGCAGGCAAAAATGAAAAGGATTCAAGTGCATGCTTGTGTGTGTGTGTGTTTTGGGGGTGGGGGGGAGGAGGAGACTAATTACCTGTACCCTGATGGATAGTAGTATGGGATAGGCGCAAAGAAACCTCCAAAATCATGTCGAGGTGGAGACTCTATGTTTAGACTTTCCTGAAGAGTCTTAGCAAGCTGTTCATCTTCTTCCAGGTGAGAATCATTGTCTGATAATCAAAACATATAGGTAAAGTTAAAGGCCATTCAAAAAAACCTGCAATGCAAGCCTTTAAATGTTCAAAAACATAGTACTACATCCCAAACAACCCAAATTTCAGCTGGAGTGCACACAAATTATACATCCTAAAGTAAAATATCACTTCCCATGAGTACTTTACTAGTATAGATTGTATTCTGATGTCCCTCAGAACATAAAATTAGTTTAGTTGTAGATTCAACGGCATTTATTACTTTCTTACAACAACAAAATAGGCCTCATTCCCAACAACTTTGGGGTCAGTACATGAATCTTTCTATGCCATTTTGCTCTATTATTGTTAGATCTACTGGAAGATCTAAAGCTACTAAATCCTTAACATTGATATAATAAGAATAATAATTCATGACATAAGATTTGACAAACTTTTATGCTGGAAGTCAGCCTCGTACAACCCTCCTACTTTACCCAAGAGCCGGATATGATGTACTTCAGTGAACCGCAAGATAAAAGTTCAAAGAGCAATAGGAACTCCACATACTACGTAAGATTGTCCACTGGCACATCTTCAAACCTTCAACTTACCAATTACTTTTTTCCCTTTCTCTTCTTCTTCAGCAAGTGAAAGAGCAATTGCATGATCAATTTCTTCAC